CTAGACTTGATTGCCAGTTACATAGAAATAGACTTGTATTTAAAGCTCATTCTGCTTCTCCCCCGATGACGGTCTAGCCAGTCACCTTGTCCAAAGCATAGCTAATGACATGGGAGAGTTGGTAACACGGGTTTTCAGTTTAGTGTGTGTGTGAGATCACTTAATCGTATCCTAAGCCCACTCCCTCAGGAGCTCTATTAGTAAGGTGCAGCAGTAGCCATTAGTAAGGGGGGACTTTGGTAGTGTCAGTAACAGTTCAGGGCTGATAGTTGTAAAAAATCATTTTTAACCTCTGCTGCTTTTTATGAGGTGTTTGTTTGTTCTTTGGTGTCTGTATGTAAAATTGCAAACACTCATGAAGTAGACTAAAACACTTCGATATGACTATTATCCCTTCATTTCAATACCACCTGCCCCACTGTAGAAAGCAGATCCCGGAGACATCATTTCCTTTGTCAAATACCTATACATTTTAGGCGATACTTTAAAAAGCTACTGTTAGAGCATGTGGCTGCCTCATGTCCTACAAGTTTAAAGTGACTGTCAGTGCCATCCCTGTGAACCCGGTGATTACGGACTTCTGTGTAGGGGTCTGTGGTAGTTCCTGCTGTCTTCTTGGTGCTGTCAAGCTCCGTGGAGTCACTTCTGACTCATGGTGACCCAATCTAGGATTTCTGAGAGCAGCTGGTGGGCTTGAACTGCCGATCTTGCAGTGAGCCCAATGGGCAGTCGGCGCTGATCCTATAGCACATACATACTAGGGTGGGCAGCCATGGCTTTGGTTTGCTGTCTCTTAAACCTACTTCTGTGGTTAAGCTTGATGTTTATGTTGGTTTATTTGTTTAGTTTAAGGGTTGCTAATTTCACATTTTAATATGATTCTGTTTTATGCATGTGAGAGATTTCCATGGTTCTATAACTCCCAGTAAGGAGCTCTGGTAGCGTAGTGGTTACAAGTCGAGCTGCTAACCGCAAGGTCAGCAGTTCGAAACTACCAGCTGTTCCTCGAGAGAAAGATGAGGCTTTCTGCTCCTGTAAAGATTTACAGCCTCAGAAACCCTGTACAGGGTCGCTGTGAGTCGGAACCGACTCCACGGCACATCACCACCACCATAACTCCCGGTGTAGCACTGTAGGATCAGCACTGGAATGCAAACCAGCAGGTTGCCACTTCCACCCACTGGCTGCTCCTGGGAAACCCTGTACAGGGTTGCTATGTGTCCCTACCGACTAGATGGCCCTCAGAGCAACAGCAACAGCAAAGGCAGATGACAAGTCTAGCTCTCTTCCTTTCTTCGTATCTGGTCACTGGGATTTTGTTTTATTTTGTTTTTTAAGTTTTTATTGTGGATTGAATGAAAGTTTACAGGGTGTAGACCATCAGTTTTACAATCAACAAATCATTCAATTTGTAGCATCACAATGATTACAGTCCCCTTCATGTACCATCAGTTAACCATATTTCTCTCTATTCACTTAAGCTCTTTAAAAAAAACAAAACAAACCACTCAGGCACATATAACAATTCACACCACCACAGCGCACATTCTGCAAAGTCTGCCTCCTGGCCACAATCTCTTAGTCCCTCTCTTCCCGTGAATCTAGAGTCCTCAGCTGCTCTCTCTCTCCATGTCCTCATCTCTGCCTCCATCTCTGGTGTTGCTGCTTCTCTGGATAAGGTCCCACATTCTGCTTGTGGTCTTCTTCCTTGATGGTCCTAGGGTCCTCTGTTTCTGGACTGCAAGATGAACTACTCCCCCGTTTTTGTTACAAAACTTCTACCTTTACAATTGTGACAGTCGCAATTAGTCGTGATAACAGTTATTCACTATTGAATCATAAGAGTCTTATCGCCATCTCTTTTAACCAGACCTATCTAGCAGTTGTTGGAACAGAACATGGGAACACTGAATGGTTTAAAAATTAAGAAAGGTGTGCGACAGGGTTGTATTCTTTCACCATACTTAATTCAGCCTGTCTGCTGAGTAAATCATCCGAGAAGTTGACCAACCCTCTCTTTTTTGATCAGGAAACTGGTTAGCACTGTTGTTCTCCTTAATAACCTGGTGTTTTGAAATACAAGACTGTCAGACAAAACGGCATGAATTCAGTTGCAATTAATCCATTCTCACATTAAAAAATTAATAAATGGCATCATTGAGACTGTCTTTGTAATAATAGGAAAAGTTTCCCTTTCCAAGGGGTTTTTGTAAATATTCAAAAGAGCAGCTGGTCCCTTCAGTCCTTCTTAGATCCCTCATTAGATAGTTGAGATCCTCTGGTCTACATGAAAATCCATCAGGAGATTGACTGGGAGATATTCAGCCTGTAGCCATCTACTCTTGTCTGATGCCAAACTGAGGGATCTACTTGTCTCCAAGGTCCCATGTGGACTGGTCCCTCCTGCTAGGGGAGCTAGGGGAGCTAGGGGAATCTGTACCAGAATCAAGAAATCCATTGCTTTCTAATTCAAGACATTCAGCTACTCCCAGAGCCGCCATCCTGGGAGAGACCAAGCAGGGAAGGATCAGAACAGCCATAAACGCCCGGCAGAACCACAGAGATACAGGTGTGGACATTCTTTTTTTTGGTATCTGTTCATTGGTCTCTCGCTGTCTGCGCATCTCCATTCTGGTGACTAGAGGGGATGCCTGAGTGGTCACTGGGATTTGTGAAGCCCCTAAGCTCCATGGAAGCTTTGTGCATCTGTGTGAACTTGCATGTGCCATATCCACTTTCCAGTTGTCTTGGAACGATTACGTGAGCCTTAGAAAGGAGAAGGCTGAGAGACTGGAAGGCAGGGTCCTATACCCCCTGTCCACTGCAGCCCAGAAGTGAAAACGACCAGTGCCCATCAGCAGATGGACAGACCAACCTGCTCCATCTTACTTCCAGTGGGGGAGAACTGGCATCTCTGTTGTGTTGTGGATGAGGAAAGAGCCCCGGAAATCAGTGACCCCGTAGTTTCTGGGTGTCACTGCCCCAAAGCAGAGATGGTCTGGTGCCTGCCTCTCCTCTTCCCCTGTCCCTCCTGGTCCCTGGGGACATGGCTATGGTGAGGAAGGAGCAACCAGTCGGATGTTGCTCCCTGACCTTGAGGGGGCTGTGTGCCCACAGGAGTGTGTGCAACCCAGGTGTCTGTTCTGCGCATGAGCCCTGTAGCCAGCCAGCCTCCAGGGTCCTTGGGGCAGTGTGTCCCTACGATGCAGCCTCTGCCACTGTCGCTGTTGTGGATGGGCCCCTCGTGGGATGGATTGGGGAGGCCTCGCTCACACCTGGCACCCACCACCCACTCGCACTCAGCCTGACCCAAAGATGAACCCAGGCGCGCCCGACCCTGTTGGATGACCGCCCTTTCACTTGTACCTACGGTGATGCTGGCATGGACATTCCACTGCATTCGCAAGACAGTGGTCGCTGCGCCTCCCACTACTTCAACAATGGAGTCTGGGTCGTTGCCAAACAGGTTGCAGGCTCAGTTGACGGGCGCACTGGGTCTTTGGGGAGGAGGATCCTCGGAGGCACGCCAGCCAACAGCCGGTTTTCGCTGCCGGTTCCCACTTCGCCGATTCTGCTGCAGTCCAGGCACAGGGCTCTGTCTGGGTCCCGTTCGGTGGCGGTTCCCTAGGTGATCTGCCCTCGTTGTTCCTCGGTTTGGAGGGGACATGCTATGCCCCTGAGGCATGGGGCTGCTGTTTGGTGTCGCCTAGCAGATCGGTTACCAGGCTAATGCTGGGCGGTGGGCTCAGCTGGTGGTGGATGGAGAGAAACTGACTGCAAACAGTGCCTTATTCCCAGGATTTAGGGGCGCGGATAGTAGGGCTGGCTGAGCAACTCTAGTGAACCTTCGGACCGGGACCCTACAGGCCCCTGAGTGCGTTTCCGGGTGCTGGGGGATTTGTCTAGTTAACCTATAACCGGGGGACTGGCGAGAGAACGAGTTCAGCGACCTCCAGCGCTCGGGGTCCGACGCTTCTTAAGGGACACCCAGGCTGGAGAATAACCCTTCGCACGTCTACAGTCGTGCTGGGTGTCCGGGATGCGCTTCTCGATTCGCTGCTGCTGGGATCCCGCGCACTAGGACCCCATCCTGCTAGTGGGCGGAGTCTCGCGCGCCTTCTGTACACTAGAATTCCAGACGCGGAGTCCTGTGCGCCGGGACCCCTGTCTTGTTAGTGGGTGGGGGCTCTCGTGCAGTTAGTGCCCTGGGATCCGGGACCCCTTCTTAGCAGGCAGAGGCTCGCATAGAGCCCCTTGCCGTGGAGTCCTCACGGCTCACGGAGAAGATGCCCAAGTAAAATTAGAAAGCAGGTTTTGAGGGTGGCGTTGCAGGGATCCTTCAGGGCGCGCGCACCGAGAGTTGGTTCCCCTTCCTGCTCAGTGTGTCTCGGGTCTCACGGAAGGACCGCTGGATGGCTGAGAACTGGGCGCGCGGGCAGGCATTCCTGGACTCCGGTCATTTGGGGCTCAGGTCGCCCCCTAGCTCACCTCTTGAGCACACCTGTGGTGTGTCTGTTTCAGTGAAGCCCACTGCGGCGGCGGTGGGTGCGCCCTCACCTGGGTTTGTCTGAGTGTACAGTGAAGCCCACTGCGGCGGCGGTGGGTGCGCCCTCACCTGGGTTTGTCTGAGTGTACAGTGAAGCCCACTGCGGCGGCCATAGGTGCGCCCTCACCTGGGTTTGTGTAAGTGTGCAGGAAGGACCGCGCAGCAGCGGCACTTGTTTGTTAAGGGGAAGTGGCCAACCTAATGAGACCATTGGGTCTGTTGTTTTACGTTTGAATGAATCAGACCCCTGCCTGTGCAGCAGACCAGCAGGCTGTGTGTTGTTTGGGGAACTTTGAGACGTTTTCTGTGCTGGTGATGCCTCCGAGGGCTCAGTGGAGCCACCAGTGTGGTGACACCACTACCAATGCGGTAGATGGCCATCTTGCTGCACAGTGGCGCCGAGTCTGCCTTTTACTGTCTCAGAAGATAACTCTCTGTTTCTTTTTCCGGACAGACATATGTCGAGTGTGTCGATCAGAAGGGACCCCCGAGAAGCCTCTATATCACCCGTGTGTGTGTACCGGCAGTATTAAGTTCATCCACCAAGAGTGGTGAGTTGGCCTTCCACAAAACCGAACACAAAGTTCCTTCATTATGGTGTGAAGGGTTAGACAAGAGCTGTCCCTGGCCCCGGTCTACTACCGCACCTGTCATTGGAGTGCCGTGGGTCCACAGCTCCTGCTGTGGAGAGCAGAGCAGGAGGCCAGCGTATGCGGCCTTCACAAGTGAGCTGGCCTGGGACTAGTGTGGACTTAGCAAAGACCAGGGGGCTTCAAAACTTGTGGAAACCCACAGCCTTTCCATTCCCTTTTTCCGTGAGTTTTTTGAAGCCTGCTGGTAGTCTGTGCCAGGAACTGTTCACGTGTGCATATGTGCACACTTGCTGCATCCTTGCATAGAGACTGAAGCGCTGGCCAAGTCTGTTCTGGACAGCACAGCCACCTGGGTAGGGCCTGGGATGGCATGGCAGGAAGCTGTGAGGAGATGGCCTGAACGCTGCAGAGCATCACTTCTAACTGGATTACCATTCCTCATGACAGTCTGAAGCATAGCAAGAATTTGAATGTAGAACCCTACTTTCCACTGACGAGGGTTAAGAATGCAGAGTGGGCTTTGTCTGGGACAGCCCTCCTGTAATGTTACAGTAATTCTCGGACCCTCATACTTTTTGGTGCTTTAATTCATTTTGATTTTCTTCATTAATCTGCCTTTTTGGGAAATTTTCTGCTTCCCATACACGTTCCTATTTTGGAGGACTCTAAAGACTAGAAAATCTCTGCCTTGTTGTAAGACAGACAGTTTCTCATGTTCATATTTTTGCCTAGTGTTTATAAGAGGGCATGAACCAGAAACTGCTGGCATGTTTTTTAATTCAAGGGGTTTTTAGCAATATTTTTCTACAAAAATTAAATACATTTAAAAAGCAAATTAAGAAACACATTTGTAATCTTTGGCAGTAATAATAAACTTTCCTTTTAAGATGACACATTCTCTGTGGAAGATTTCACAGGGAAATGAGCAGTTTTTAAAAAAGGCCTGAGTTATTGAGGACTAGTGTACCTTTGAAATTCCACAATGCTGGCAGCTCTGTGGTAGGTCAGGCTGGTGGCCATGGAAGAGCCTTGTCTGCAGAATCGGGGGTGGTGGGTGGGGGTTCTTGTCAATGCTGGACTCACGTGAGTGTTCTTTGTCATTACAGTTTAGTTCAGTGGCTGAAACACAGTCGAAAAGAATACTGTGAATTATGCAAACATAGATTTGCTTTCACACCAAGTAAGTTCTTTAGAAATGTTCACTCTGTGTTTTTTGTTATTGTTATAATTTGTAGAAGTATTTTAAAGTAAATATTTTCAACTCAGTTTGTCTTTGATAGCAACAGAAAGTATTGCTAGTCTATTTTGGAAAAGTGTTTTTAGAAACTCCATGTCAGGGTCCACACACACGTGTGTGTGAAATGTAATTTGTGGGGGTGTTTGTCCCATTTGGGGAACCCTGGTGCCACAGCAGATAAAGTGCTCTGCTGCAACCCATAATCAAGCAGTTGAAACCCTCTAGTTGCTCCAAGGGAGAATGATGTGGCCATCCGCTAGTGTCTGGGAAGCCGTGTATGGACCGCTCTGCTCTGCTCTGCCCCCGAGGGCTGCTATGACTTGGAGTGGCCTGGGTGGCAGTTGCTTTGGCTCCTTTCTTTCCACTTTTTAGTATGACAAATTCAAACATGTCCAAAGGTCAAAGGCGCCCACTTCAGCCATTGCTCAGCCTCATTGGGAGCCCCTGCCAGCCCCCTACCTAGCGTGCCCTCTTCCCTCCCTGCTGGTTTTCAGGCAGCAGCCACCCTACACCATGTGACCTGCACTGACAGGACAACGGGAGGTGTGGTCAGTGTCCGATGCCTCCCTTGCCCTCGCCAGTCATGGCTCACACCGGGCATCTCTTTAGTGAAAGTGCTCAGGCTGGGATCATAATAGTCACCTTCTTAATGAAACCTACTTTCTAAAGCCAATACTGTGTAAACTTATGGGAGGCATTTTGGTGGATAATAAATGCTTTGCAGGTCTTTAACATTTTAATTATATTTACAATTTATATGCCTGTTGCATGACATCTAATATTGTTCACCTTAAATAAGTGACGAATCCACTGACGAATGATCAAGAATTTGCAGGTTTTTATCATTCTGGAATCCAAATATATTACCTTCCCCTCTAAGGGAAAGTCACTTTTTAAATGATATAGGATTTATTTATGTCTTTATTTTTGGTAAACATCTTGAGCGTGTGCTGTTGTTAGCTGTTACATGCAGTTGAGCTGGTTCTGACTTATAGCAACCCCATGTACAACAAACACAATGCTTCCCAGACCTCTCGGAGCCGCACCCACAGGGCTTTGTTGGATCTAGCTCCTCGAGGACCTTCCTCTTTTTCATTGAGCCTCCACTTTACCCAAGTGTGATGTCCCTCTCCAGGAACTGGTCCCTCCTGATGTCGTATCCGAAACCACGCTGGCTTCTCAAGAGCATTCTGCCTCTACTTCTTCCAAAATACACTGTTGTCCTCTGGCAGTCTGCGTCCTAGCAATAGTCCTCACCAATACCAGCATTCCATTTGGGTCTTGTTATTCATTGTCCAACTCTGAAAATACCACGGCTGCGATCGGGCACACTCTGTCCTCTAAAGTGATGCCTTTGCTCTTTAACTCTCAAAAGAGGTCTTGGGCAGCAGGTTTATTTTTGTAGTCAGGACTTCGTTTTCTATAAAAGGAGTCCTGTAGTGCTGTAGGATAAGCACTGGAATACTAACCACAAGGTTGACAGTTCAACCCCACCACCTTCTCAGTGGAAGAAAGATGAGGTTATCTGCTCCCAAAAAGACTTGCAGCCTGGCTACAACGTGCCAAGTGAAGGAGGCTTCCTGCGGAGCCTCTGCATTACACAACACCATAGGTGGAAGCCTGAACCCCATCCAGAATCTTCTGAGGTGGGAGATTTCCACTGGAAAGGACAAGCAGACCAGCCTGAAGCAGCTAGAAGAACAGAAGATACTTCTTGAAAGAAAGACCGACAGGAAAAATACAAAACAATATAAGCAGTCTAACTGATTATTACAAGATAAAGCAACTGGCTTGCCCAGGAGACATCAAGGCAAGTAGTCAGGTCCCCTCAGAGCAAACCTCCTTCCAAGACTAAGACTCAATGGGAATACACGCTCTGATTGGTGACCACGTTTGCCAACGATAAGGGAAAGTGAGGGAAAACCAGCAATGAAGCGGTGAGCTAAGCCCTATAACATTCAATAGACTCCTGTGAACCCGGGTGGAGACCTGGTTGGCCAGCAGTGTGACAAGACCTGGGGACTCTTGGGCCCAGAGTCAGTGACATAGCCACAGAGGACTAGATTGGAGAGTGAAGCGTCCAGCTGATAAGAAGAGAGGGCATATGCATAAGAACACCCACACTTGCAGATAACACTCACTTGACCTGGCTTCAATGACTGGATGATAAGAGCTCAACCAGAAGAAGAAAGAAGAGGAAAAAAAGAGTAATCTGATAAAATTTGATGAACTTGACCTAGAGCTTTGGATGCAGTAGCTCAAAAGGGAATAAAACCTTACAGCAAGAATCATTCCCTCCCCCGCCACACACAGAGTAAACAGGGATAGGCAACTTTGACATTGGCTACCCAAAATGGGGGCCTATAAAGGCAAGAAGTGGCTGACTTACAAACTTTCAAGAGGGAACCTAGATCCAGAGGGCGTGGAAGAAGGTAGAATCTCCACTGAGTAGTATCCAATCTGTCTAGGTAAGGCTGATGAAATGAAATGCGAATGGGTCTCTTTTGGTACAATAGTGAATAATTGTGAAGGTTGAAAATGTAAAGGTAGATGTTTTGTAGCAAGGAGGAGAGTGATTAACTTTTCAGTCTAGGAGCTGAGGTCCCTAGGACCTTCAATGGAGAAGAGCAGAGAGCGGGACCCTATCCAGAGAAGCAATGATGCCTGAGATGGAGGCAGAGACGATGACGTGGAGAGATGGAGCAGCTGGGGACTTTAGACACAGAGAGGGAGAGGGGCTGTGTGCTGACGACCGGGGAGCAGGATTGTAGTGTATGCCCTTTGGTTGGTTGATGATGCATGGAGGGGATTGTAACCATGGCACTGAAACGATATACGATAGAATGAATGTAAAACTAATGTTCTCCCATGTAAACGAGCACATGATTCACAATAAAACATTTTTTTAAAAAAGCTTTGCGGCCTGGGAAACCATGGACTAGGTGTCTGTGAGTCGGAATCGGCTCCCCCGTCATAGTGGGTGAGCTGGCTTTTCTGTAGGCAGCTTGCCCACAGGCAGCACTCCTGAGGGCTGGCACTGCCTCTGTCACCTGGCATGAGCTTAGCTTGGTGACCTGTTCCTGGTGGGGGCACGGCTCTGTGTGAGCCTGCTGGACGAGGTGGCTGTGTGTTTACTCTGAATGGTGTGGGGACGGTGTTCTCATGATAGGTCGTGATTTTCAAACCTCCTAGGTCCTGATTCCTGTCGGCTAGATAGTGTTTGTTGAGAGAGAAGTCTGTCCCTCTTGAATGGCCTTCCTGAGGTATGGGAGCCAGAGCCTTATCATAAGCAACGGTGTTTATTGGAACTGTTGTTTGAAAAGGGGCTCGTTCTCCAACCTGACAGACCCTCTCCTCCTCTGAAGGTTTTGAGCCACATTTTACACCGAGGTGGAGTGATGTGAACCAGCAGTTGGGATCGTAGCCTTCTGCTGAGCTATGCAGTAGGGGCTCACAAAGGTCAGGGGTGTGTTTGCACCACAGATTGCTTGGTTTTCCCAGTGCTGCCGGCTGAGGCTCTGTCTTGATAACAGAGTCCTGCTATCACCTTTGCCCCTGTTCGCTTTCCTCTCTGGAATCTGGGAAAACAGGTGTGGTTGAATGCTAGTCTTTGGGCAAACAGTTTTGCCAAAGGCTCAGGGCCACGAGTGATATCCTGTCAGAAAGTGTGTTACTGATTCCACACAGACAGGTTCCCATGTCGTGTCCTCCTAAGTGACTTCTGGCTCAGTGTGGGAATATGGGAGCTTTGGGTTTCCTTTCTGTTGTTCTACATCTACTAAGGAGTCCTGGTGTGGGGCTGTGGGTTCATGCACTGAACTGCGAAGTCAGGTTCAAGTTCACCAACTGTTCTTCAGAAACCCCATACAGGGTCACTATCGAGGGCACTTAACCACAACAATATAGCTACTAAAGAGTTTTGGAGTGGCTCTGTATAATCAACACTGGACTGCTAACTTCTAGGTCAGCAGTTCAAACCCACCAGCTGCTCCCTGGACACCCTAAAAGGGTTACTATGAGTTCAAATCTATACGAAGGGAGTTTTCCAGGCCATTGTTATATTTATGAGTGAAGCAGTGTTTAAAGTGACATGAAAGTAATCATGCCTTGCCTCCTGCAGTTTATTCCCCAGATATGCCTTCACGGCTCCCCATCCAGGACATCTTTGCTGGACTGGTGACGAGTATCGGCACCGCCATTCGGTACTGGTTCCACTACACACTTGTGGCCTTCGCCTGGTTGGGAGTCGTCCCTCTCACCGCCTGTGAGTAGCAGCAGAGTGGCTTGCATGGGGTGGGGCCGCTCAGGATGATGCGTTGGAGTGTTATTTAGTGCTACTGCTGTTAGAACACCCCCATTAGGGATGCCCCTGCTTCCAGAACATTCCACTGCAGTGAAGCACACCTGCCCAGGAGTTCAGCTCTGGACTGACAGTGGAGAAGAGACTACGGAGCGCACACAGGCACTAAAAAGGCAAATTCACACCACCATTTCTAGGAATGCAAATTCTGTTCCCTCAAGTGTCCAGAGCTTTCCAGGGTGGCAGATGATGGGCCTGCTGGTGGTACGTACAGCCCTTGCCAGCCCACCAGGCCTCGGATGGGGTTTCTAGCGCACTAGTCCTCAGGCAATCCCTCTTGGGGTTACTGTTGTCCTTGAAGACCGGAGGCAGGATACGGGATCAGGGACACTGAAGCTCAGTACAGCACTGGCTTGGAAGACCTCAGCTGCTGCTGCTTGGGCCCCACTCCGGCTCGAGTCTGGGATCTCAGTCTGCCCTACTCTTACCTAACAGAATGAGGCGAAGGGTGTGTGTTCACCCATGTCCCACTTTTCCCATCAGGATGGGCATGAAAGATTCTCCCCTGAGCTTGTGCTTTGCAAATACTGGTTGTAAGGTTGTTGTTCACAATGTTGGAGGACATATTCTACTGAAAAGACCTCAGATTCCAAAGAGTTCTAGTACCCCAAACACACTCTGCAGCAAACTTAATGTCTACAGTCCCAGTTGCTAAAACTTCTCCGTATGGTAATTGTGGAGGGTTTTTCTAAACAGCTAAGCTCATCTGATTGAAAGCAAGCAAGGAAACATCGATAGAATCTGAACTTGAAATGTGATTGAGTAACATCTCTTCTTCACGGTCTCAGTTAGTGCCTGTCTGTGGTCTCTGTGGCTCAGTGCCACAGAGTAGATTAGCAAAGACTGAATGCTGAGTCCGGTGACCCCCGCTGCTGCCCTCGACCCCGAGTCCCTGACATGCATACCGACAGTTGACCCTGTTCTCTCCCATAGGTCGCATCTACAAGTGCTTGTTTACTGGCTCTGTGAGCTCTCTGCTGACCCTGCCATTGGACATGCTGTCCACGTGAGTACCAGCTAGGGGGCGGGGGCTGCTGCTGTGTGCTCACGCCCTGCCTGCCCCCACCCACGACTCCCTGCTCGGAGGATGGATGGTGGGTGCCGAGTCCTGAGCCAGCACGTAGAGCAGCACTCAATGAAACCTGTTTTCAGGGGCAGTGTGCAGTGTTGCATTGTGGGCTGAGAGTTGGCTGTGCAGGCCAAGCGGATACATTTTCTTAAATGTTTCCCATGGTTTTGTAAAACTCCTCTGTTGTCCTTGTTTTACTGCATTTTGCTGTCGGCCTTTCTGGAAGAAGACATAGCATAGCATATGTGTCTCCTTGTTTCTGTCTGGTGTTGGGATTAGAAACGCCTTCACTGCTCACTTCACCAGGCCAGGGCCGCTAGGGTACCAGGATTAGAAACGCCTTCACTGCTTACTTCACCAGCCCAGGGCCGCTAGGGTACCAGGATTAGAAACGCCTTCACTGCTCACATCACCAGGCCAGGGCCGCTAGAGTACCAGGATTAGAAATGCCTTCACTGCTCACTTCACCAGGCCAGGGCCACTAGAGTACCAGGATTAGAAACGCCTTCTGCTCACTTCACCAGGCCAGGGCCGCTAGAGTACCAGGATTAGAAACGCCTTC